TGTGAGTTGGCTGGAAAGAGGAAAAGAGTGAGTGAGTGACATTCCGAAGGCAAGCAGATTCATTTCTAAAACTAGCAAAGCAGCAGAACAACTTTTAGCGGAAACAAATGTTCTGCTTAGGTACAGAAGGGTTAGAAAAAGTGGGAAGGAGACTGATAAAAATGAAGGCTGCTGGCACAAATTCTTAGTATTTCCCCCCCCCACTTTAGAACTGTATTTCTACATCCATTTTATCATTGTATTAAAAAAAATGGTACTTCTAATCTTAGCAGTGACACAGATATAACCTTCTCCTTTCCAGGGTGTCCTGGTATTAACCTAGAAGAAGCCATTACCAAGCTCTCATGCCAGTGACTGATCTCGAAAACATACTGAGCTCCATATAAAAGCAAAACAAAATAGGAAACCCACAAAGGTGCAATCTGTGGAACAATGCAGAACAATGTACACTGAAATCTCTCTTCAAAATCCAGTATATGGTACCTAAAAGCTATGTCCCCATTTATTACTTTTTTTCCTTTTTCTACATCGAGCAAAGCTAAATCAGAAACTCCAGAGAAAGCCCTTTTCAGTGTTAACACAAATCCAAAGATTCCAAAAGTGAAAGGCACAAATGACTCAGCAGAGTTCAGCTCCTCCTCTAAGCAGTCATTTGTTTCACTGCTGCAAAGGAACTTCCCTTCACCAGACTGAGCCTAATGAAGCGTGGTTTCTTGGCTGGGGTGGCAGACCAAGGAAGAAGAGTGCTGTGGAAGTGAAAACAGAGCACTACACCCACAAGCAAAAATGTAAGCTGGGAAACCACAAGATAATCAGACAGACAAATAGCAATACTCTAAGCAAGTTTGTGATTGACTTGTAAGTGGCCAGAGGTATGGCAGGAGGCACTGGTTAACATCTCTGAGTCCAATACTTACTCGTTTAAGACTGGCTTCACTGACAACACCTGTACAGAAAGTTTGAAGAGTTGTCATTTTGGTAAATGAAGAGGGAATTAAAAGGCTATTTAGAGACAGCAATAGGGTGAAGTTATAAAATGGAATAATGCAAAATCAGGGATTTCTCTTGCTTGTTGTTGGGGGGTTTTACCATCAGACCAAAAATATTTTTAAAAAACCCTCTGAAATATGCAACATTTAAGTTCTCCAAACTAACTCGTTAAAAGTGCCTAACACTTTATCTGCCTACAGTAATATTTATAACTGTGCTTGAAATAAGGAACTGCACCAAGATGATGCTGATGGAATTCACCTCTTTTCACTTAGACTGGCAGGCTATTACAAAATGCCCAGGCAAGGGAGCTCCGAAACATTTTAACAAACAAACAAACTTATCAGTCTCCAGCTCTCCAGAGATGGTTGTACAGCACACCTTTGTCAACCTGCCTTCCCTTTACAGCCTTTAAAACCCTGACAAAAATGCAACTGCACTGCTGCTTCGAGAAGGAACTTTTAAGTCAAAGTTACAATGCAGAACTTAAAAGAAATACCTTAAAGAGGGTATCAAAATTGATGTTGTGCTGCCCGGTAGCATTGAGAGCTTTGGTAGCTGGAGTTCTGGAGGAAAACAATGCATTATTACTCAACACATTTTACTGTTCCAAAGGCTACAAAGCACCAAAAATTCCTCACTAAATGCCTTTACACTGAAAAGCTTCCTTTGGCCTAAAATAATTCAGAATTCTGTGTGACTGAATCCAGACTCACATCACTGTTGCTACTCTATTACTATACCATTAAGTACAGACCAACGAGGAATGTGCCAACAGCTTTTTGCATGCTACACAGCCTTAAGACTGTGTAATGTCTGTGAGCACCTTCATAGCATCACCAAATACTTCTTCACTGTGAATCTAAACCCTTTAACTTTTACTAAACTTTGCTTTATAAAGCAATTTTTGGTTTATGCCTTATCCTTCAATTTCTCATCTTTTATGCCAGTCAATGCCACATAAACTTTCCTCCAGCATCTGTGAATATCACTCCTTACTTTAGCTGTTCCCTTTTGAGTGGCTTTACAGAAATAGAGTAAGCTGCCTGCTCAAGGAGCTAACACCTCCTCAGAAAGGAAAACACCCAAATCTCTAAGCTTTTCCAAAATAACAGTGTTATCTCACCACAGAGCTCCAAACTAAATTTACCTTCGATCGTCAAAAGGAGGAGGGGTAGTCCAATGGTCATAGTTTGTCTCCACACGAAACCACCTATAACACAACACACAAATATAAAAGCAAACAAAAGGCAAATCAGTAGGTAGTTAATCAAGGCCAAGACTCGGTGTCTGTATTGCCAAAAGGAAAAAAACCTCCCTAAAAAGCCTCCTTCCTGCATCTCATGTCAGCCCAAGGTGCCTATGTTAATATACCAAGTGGCCTTTACCATAAAACACTGAACACAAATGAAAAAGGAGCAGCCTCTGAGCTCCTGGTGGCCTCAGTAACGAAAGCACTACTGACTGCTATAAGAGCAGTATGGGACCTTTAAAGAGATGACTGGAGAAGACACTGTGGGTATGCTGCAGCTTGCAGCATTCCGCTGGGAGCACACAAGGCCAACAGGCCACCTGGCCATGGGTAAGCCAGTACTTACTGGCTGACTGTATGCATTAAGTGCCCTTTTCACCACAGGACAACTACTTAGGATCTCTTTCACAACTTATGCTGCTGATTTCAACAAAATTTATAGAAAGTTATTTTGGAGCCTTCAACCCTTCTACCGCATTACGTCAAAGCTAACTGGGAATTGCTGAATTTACTGGTGTGATACCTGGCAGACAGACAGGAAAGGCCCTTGAGTCTTGCCTCCTTTAGAATATGGCTAAAAAAACTAACACATACAGATGTTTTTTCCACCCTTGACCCTGCAGACTGCCCCAACCTGACAAGGTGGTGTGACTCCTTCTCAAAGAGCTGGGGTGCCTTGCAGAGGCTTTCAAGCCTTCCTGTCCAGCTGTAAGCATTAGTAAGCAATGCCCTGAACCTCTTGAGAAAGTTGTGTCACTAACCTTACCAATCACTCAGGAGGGAATATGAAAAAAAAACACAAAACAAAATGGTTTTTATTACTTACGCTCCACCTAAAGGATCGAGAGGCCAGAGATCTGCTGGCCCCCTTCTGTTCCTCGTTATGACCATGCCTTCTTTGGGTGAAACACCTCCTACAATATAGTAAACTTCAGCAATGATGGGAATGCCAGCTAGTCTGAGAACAGCTGACTGAAAGTCCTCTGCTCTGCTCAGGGTCTATTACAAAAAGGAGATCACAGTGAACCAGAGATCACAGAGCACGGTCAAGCACAAAAATGAGCACTGGGACATCTTAAAAAGGAAAAATGGTCCAGCTTTTTTGAATTTGACTGTAAAGTGCTACTTGAAAATATTTCTCTGAAAACAGTTTTCCAGCCTGACTCGCAGATGAACATGAAATGCATGTGACTTGTGAACTAACTTGTTAATCCCAGCTTTGCAAATATTCAAACAGTAAACATACAGACACATATATACACACATGTATGTACACATATGTATATGGTGAAAAGCAAAAAACCCATTAAATTCAAATGGAATTATTCAAAATGAAATTCAAATGACATGCCATTCAAATGACAGAGGCACGTCCATACTCTGCAAATTCCATCCTCAGCAGAGTCTTTCAGTGCGATCGATGGGACAGACGAATGAGGGTGAAAGAGGGGAAAATCCCACTCCGTATCTCTGTTTTGCCGGTGGTTTAAGAGGATTTAGATAACAATGGTGAACAAGGCAGAGACATTGCTCACAGCAAGCCCTGACACAGCCAGGTGACCAACTTAGTATGAATGGACCATAGCCAATGAAACTACTGTTTTCAGGCACAGGGCCACAACCTGTGGAAGTACATCTTTAAAAATGAATGCTGTGCAGGAACTAAAAACAAATACGTAGATCATACATCAAACAAAATTGTTCAGACAGTTGAGGAAAGCTCTGGAAAACAATTATCTCTGACAGCAATGCTGCACTGAGTAGTTTTGAATCACAGCCTAAAGTCACATCTCAAACTCAAAAAATATGAACTACAAACTCTTCAGTAGACATTATTTACCTACAAACCGTATCATTCATGTTTACTGTAAGTCAAGAATCTGAGAAGCAGCAGACCCATTTTATCTTAGTAGGACCCTAATGCAGTACTGATAAAATAGGCTATACAAAATACCAGTGTAACTCCTTCTGCTCACCAGTGAGCTCTACATTTTTAATATGGTAACATATCAGCCATAGTGTAAAATAACCCCTGGGTCAGATACTAACCATCTCAGAGTGCAGCTGCCTCAGTTTGTTAAATAACAAAATCACAGCTAGCTGAAATAGACCCTAGGAATTAAGTCTTTACACAGCTTCTCAAAGACTTTTGGCACTGATTACAGACTGCCTCCCCAAAGGACTGGAATTGCCTCCCCCATACACATCACTGATGATTTGGGGACAATACGTATCTCCTCTACAAAATGCATCTACTTATCAAGTTAATGAATTTTCTGTGAAACTAGGAGTTGTAACATCAGATTTACAAGGAGTTTGTAAGTACAGATGACATCGCTCTGAAATACAAGAAAATAACTTGGGGCACTTACATCTCGGACAAGCCAGCTGACAGGGTAATTCCGATTCAGAAAAGCAGCGATTGCATTTTCCCACCATCTACCACCCACTAGAAAAACAAGGAAAAGAAATTACTATATGCATGTTACGTATGCTCTGTGAAATCTATCCTCCTGCCTTCTCCTATCTCTAGCTCTGCAATCTCTCCCTTACTGCCTTACAAAAGAGAAGTGCAATAAATTCTTTAATTCTCTAACTACACCACTATCATAAACCCATCAAATTTAGGCAGTTTATACTGACTGACAAAGCACACACCATCTGAAAGCAGTCAGAGCCTCTGTACCATCTCAAGCTTATCAACACTGTTTATAACACTGAATGCTAACAGTACTCCTTTTCTACTGTATTCCTTTACTGATATTTATACATAAAATGTCCTGCATAACCAGGCTAACATACCCTGGAAAGCCCCTGGTTTACAACATCTGTGTTTCAAATGCTCAGCTTTCTGTATTAGATTTGGATGCTAAACTACCACAGAAAGCTAAATCAGTGAAACAGGGCAGCTACCTATCAGCATAAAATGTCAACACTTCAGAAGGGCTAACAAAAAGCATTACATCCAGGTGAAACTAGAGCTCAAATATAAATAGACAACATAATCCCAACTGAAGTTCAACCACGGCAGCTGGATTACCACCCCTGCTTTCCAGAAAGACCTGTAACAACAGGCATCACTGCTATCTTAGCTTGTCTAGCAAAAGGTACGCTATTCCTGTGACCAGTTGCCTTAAGAGGGTGCTGTGAAATGATAAGGAGTCTGAGGTGCAGTGGACAATAAAGAAGACAGCGTTCAGCACTGTACAGAGGACACACAACACCACTCAGAACTTACCAGTGCTAGCAATTTCAATCAAAAAGTATCACGTTCCTTCCCGTTTTGATAACTTGCCAGCTGCTCAGTTTTTAAACTACTTTTGTTCATAGCTGAATGATAAGCAACAAAGAGTCAAAAGTGACTGGAACCGGCACTAGCACTTTGTAACAGCTATTTCCAAAAATCTTGTAGATCTTTTCATGTAATAGTCTCCATCTGTCAGCTCAAATATTAGCATGAATCACCTCATTAGTCATCTCACTGAAATATTACAGCAGGAAGAATTACAAAGAAATCATGAAACAGCTAAAAAAGAGGTAGTGATAGTGTTTGTGTTCTTGAGAAAATAAGAACTAAAAACTGCACAAGAAGTTTATAATTAGTCATATGCCAAAACCACAAAAAACCCAGCAGAAACAGTATGTTTGTCACTTGATAAACCCTCAGCCTAATTTAAAGTCATCCCCCTTGACAGCTGTAGTTCACATACTCATTTCCCTAAATTTTTAGTTCAGGAACAAGATTGTCTAATTAAAAGAGAATATTGAAAAGAAAAAATGCTTATCACAATCACAAGTGAAAAATAAACACTTATTTTAGATGTTGGTCCTAACTCAGACTACACTGTTTCCAGTTCTAACAAACAGCTAAGGAAGAACAACAAAAAGTGGCTGCTGCAACAGGATGGAAAAGGGAAACCCAAGGTCTGAGTTGGACATAACTATTAATATCTGTGAAACTGAAATGCTGATGCAAAAGGCAATGACCCCTCCTCTGCCTTCCTGACTGTTACAAGCCCTTCTACTGACAGGTCTTATTCCCAGTACAGACATCTCTCAACTTTCCTCCACTTCTGGATCTGTCCTCAGCTGCCCTCCCAGCACCTCCTCTCATTCTCTCAAGCCGTGCTGCCTTTACCCTAGATCTCAGTGTTGCCCTTCTCTTCCCATCCTCTTTCAAGCTGCCTTATGGGAACAGAGAAATGTGGAATAAAGAGCAAAGGACAGAGAACTAGGAAAGCATCTATTTGCTCTGCACAACTGGATCTTTTTCTCCCAGTCTCTACTCTGCCATCTCCAGTTGCTTCTCTTGAAGAGACCACATTAGTTTGTCTTTTATGACTTCCCCCAAGGTCCTTTGTCTCCTTTGACACTTTTAAAGCACAGATAATGCTGTGACGGCAAACAAATCCCTCTCTCCTGTGCAACAGCCGAAACCTGGCAGCATGTGTGCTTTCACTCCCTGAGGGCAAGATAAGACATTCAATTTCAGCTCCTTAATCGTATTTTTCTCTCTAGGAGAACATGAGAGAAGGGCCAAAGGAGGCAATGAGCAATAAAATAGTGTATGTTACATTAAGTGTGGAAGACAGATTTGTTCACCTCGTTCATCACCGGAGATTGTGAACTTGTGTGGACTTTGTCCAGTCCATAAGCCGACGTAACCAAGAAATGTGGTGCCTTGATATGCTATCTGAAACCAGGAAACACACGGAATGTCAGCATGCTGGAACAGAACACTACTTCAAATACAGGAAACATACTCAAGCAGCAAACTCTACTTTTTTCTAAGAAACACACTTTGGTCACAAAAATTAACAAGGCCTTAGGAAAAAAAAGCCTTAGAATCGGTCCCTGCCCAAACTGATCTCTTTATTCTCTAGTATTTCTTTTTTACTATCTCAACATTTCCTTCTTTCAACATCTCCTTCCGAATAATCATCTTGAGATACAAAATCGTGTTCTTCTATCTGTTCCAGTTTATCACCACAAACTGAATGTCCAGAAAGCAAAGGAACCCAGCAGTCATCCCACAGTCCTGGAGAGAGTGACTGCAGTGCTCTAGTAATCCAGTAAACTTTGGATAGGAACCACATTCCTACATTAAATCCCAGCTGCCTATGCAGCCATATGACCGTACCATGTTCCTTCATGGAATATCACCCAGCCATGTCAACCACAGATCATACCTGCCCGCTTTTTATAAACTGCACATCAATTGTTATCTTGCTTAATATATCAACAAAATCATAATCCAGGTTCCGACCGTGGTAAATGTTTCCTTTGTCATCCTGAGCGACAATACTAGTACAGAACCTTCCCGAACAGAAAGGAGAAAGAATGATTTCAGAAAATGCTATGACAACGCTTGCAATATGATAGTTGAACTAGCTCATTTCAGGAGTAACTGAGTTTATTTTCCGCAAAGTATTTTTCTAATGTAAGCAAAGTGTTTTACTAATGTAAGCAGACAACTAGGAGTTTGCATTAACACCTATGTTTCCCAACCTGAGAGAATACTCTCATCCTGTACTTTTAGCTAAGGTTTCTGACAGGCTTTAATTTAAAATTGATTAAATTAAAAAAATAAATAAGTAAATAAATAA